TTGGACTGCCCCAAGAAATTCCCTTTAAAACCTACTGAATGCCTGACATCTGGCAGATACTTATCCTCTAAACTTAGAGTCCTGGTGTGGTGCTGTGGGTTAATGTGCCAGATTGCAAAGCCATTTGAACTGCAAGGTTGGCAGTTCAATCTCACCAGCAGCTCCTCAGAAACCCTATACAGGGTTGCTACGGGTTAGAACCGCTCAACGGCACTTAACAATAACAACAACAAACTTAGATCATTAGAGTATCCAAGCAGCCTGTGTAGGAAGGGAGAGAGACTGGACAGGAGACGAAGTCCACAAACTCAGGTGTGTAAGAAATGTTACCTTTGGTTTCTCTCGCTTCTCCTCCAGGTGAACATCAGTTTCTGACAATTCAGGGGCTCCCTCCCTGCCACTGAGTTAGGCTTATTTTCGGGGGATCTACATGGTCCTAAAGTGGTGGGGAGAAAGCATCAGTAGTTGGTCCCAGTTTGTCCTCTAGTCCTGGTATGGCACTGTAGAATAAACACTGGACCCCTAACCATAAGGTCAGCAGTTCAAATCCACTAGCTGTTCCTTGGAAGCCCTATACAGAGTCTCTATGAGTCAGAACCAACTCATTGGCACTTAACAACAACTACTACTTTAGTGGCTATCCCTGAAAAGTCCTTGTTCCCATTTAATCTCCAACTGTTGGTCCAGACAGACCACCACTATACCTTCCTCTTACTTATATAACCCCTCTAGATCTTCCTTTCCTTCCATCCCATTCTCTAGAGCTCTCTCAATCTTTCTCTGTTTCTCTCTGCCTGGGAACCTGGTAACAGTTCTAAGCTTCCTGTACGATCCCAGTCGCAATGTAGCTAGCAGGGGTTTAGGTTCCAAAGCTCTCAGAAGGAACACCGAATTGCAAAAAGCCAGGAGAGCTTGAGAGCCACAGTAGCCGGAACAGACTGGAGTAGAAAGACACTGTGTAGAGGAATTCCCCTAGACCAACAATACATGGCACTTGCTGTCTCTGTCACTGCCTGAGGTCCCAAGGATGCAACCTGAAGAAGGAGATTGTCTGGTGTCTTGTGCAGTCTTGCTTTGTACCTGGAAACCTTTCCAAAGAAGGAATCCCCTTGGTGCTTGTCACAAGTTCAGAACTTTAATCAGTTCTTTAGTTGAACTGATGCAGGACAGACACAGACATAGAAAGGCTTTTCTTGGCTGGGAGACTGTGTTGACTATGAAATAGACATTCCAAGAACCCGTGATAAAAATAGGTTGTCTGCCTTTTCTGTAGAATATCATGAGCAGCCAGAAGAAAGAATAGCTGTAACTCCTTTCTCTTGGGGAAAGGTTGCCCTTAACTTGGTTTATGGAGGAGACTCATAGAATGCAAAGTTGAAAGGACATCCATGACAATAACTTTCAAACTGTCTGCAAAATCTTGGTTGGGAGTAGAGAGAGGGTGAGCATTCCCAAGGGGCCATTTTGATGATAAGAGAAAATCCAAATTCACCAGAGAACCTCCCTTCAAACCTCAACCAGAGAAGCTCTACTTTAATCTCTCTTAGATTCTGTCAGAATATAAATTCTATCTAAATTGTTTTATGGCTAAAGAAATGTTTGGAAATCCATGAGCTAGTCTGTTGTCTTGTTTCATAAACCAACAAAAATGAGACTCAGAGAGGCTGACTGACATGCCCACCAAAAGTGAATGGTTGACTCAAGATGAGAGTGTGGGTCGCCTTAGTCCTGGTTTATTCAACATTCATTCAGCAAATGGTTATTTAGCACCCACGAAGAGTACTGGTGTGGCACTGTAGGATAAACACTTGACTGCTAACCATGAGGTGGGCAGTTCAAACCTACCAGCTGCTCCTTGGAAACCCTATTCAGGGTCGTTATGAGTTGGTATTGACTCAGTGGCACTTAGCAATGACAAAAAGGTGCAAGGTACTTTGCTTGGTAATGTAGGTGTCCCAGGATGAGACTGAATTAGTTACTGAACCCCAAGGAGCATAGGCTCTAGTGGAGCTGAAGATGTTGGTTCCCTGAGTGCTACTTTCACCTACATAGTTTACTGATGCTCAAGAAATGGACATGCACAGTAATGTAGCTTTCTATATTGATTCAATCGATACCACGAGATTCGGGCAAATCTCAGGGTTCCCATTCTAAATCCTACTCTTTCTTACTGCCCAGAACTATAACGGTAGAAGAGTAAGCAGAATTTGTGCCCTATCACCTGAGGTATTTGGTTTAATTCAAAAGACGGAGAAAGCATCCACAATTATAATCTCAACTTTACTCAGATACCTGAGGGTCTCATTGGTTGAATATCTTGGGGTCCCATAGGAAGAATATTTCAGTTGACCATGTCCCATGTCCAAAGATGCTTTGATGGGTATCTTGGACAGCATTTCTGCCTATAATATGCTGATTATACCAATCAGGTTCATTGGATGCAAGCAATAAAAACTGACTGAGGTCAAAAACAAGAACAAAAATGGTTGGATATGAATTTTTATGGGCTAGCACACTGAATTAAAAGAAAAGCTGGCAAAGAAAAATATACAGCCTTCAGAAAAGTTAAGACCTAGGAAAGTTCCAAAACTAATGGATAATGTTTCTCAGGGCACTGCTGTGAAGATTGATGAGTACAAACTGGTGTCACTCTGGTTAGGAATCAGATTCCAGTGAGAAAGAATTTAATGTAAGGTCTGTGTTGAAATACATGTCCTCTCACCCTTGGCTAAACCACCAAGACTGTATCCAGCGAGGGAAGGACTGTCTCACAAGGTCAAACTGAGATGCTGTTAACCAGAGGACAGGGAATGGATGCTGAGCAGTCCAAATCAGGAGCTGTCGGTACACAGATAATCATGATGGTAGGGGATGCTTCAACTATGAGAAGAGCTGTCTCACTTCCCCTCCCCTTGGGATTAGAAATGAAAATGCCGCTCCTCTCATAGCTCACATGTTCCAAGGAGCATTGAATTTATCAGAAAATGTTTTCTTTCAGTCTTGAAAGTTAGTATTGCTGGATATGAGTCTAGGATGACAATTATTGTCTGAGCATTTTGTTCTTCTTGCTTGTGTTGAGAAGTCGGCTGTCAGTTAAAGTGATCGCTTTTTATAGACAATATGCCTTTTTTCTCTGGCTGCCTTTAAATTCTTCTCTTTGCCTTTGGTGTAAAAACTAGTTTCACTACAGTGTGTCTTGACATGTATTTTATTTATTTTTCCAGCTTGCAATACATTGAACTTCCTAAAATTATTTATTCATGTATTGTATTAACTCGGGACAATCCCTAGTCATCGTCTCTTCAAGTATCACCTCTCCTCTCTTCTCCAATTTCTCTCTTTTGGGCCTTTGGTTACCTTCTTATTCTGTGCTCCATATCTTTAACTTCTCTTTTTATTTTCTGTCTCCTTGTTCCTGTGTAATGCATTGTTAGTAATTTCGGCAGTTATGTTTTATAGTTTATTAGCTCCCTCAGCATCTGTGTCTAATTTGTTGTTGGCTCCCCTAAAATATTTTATTCTGTGTCTCACTTCTAAAAGTTATATTTGTTCTTTTTTCAAGATTTGCAGGGTAATTTGCAGGTATCTACTCAATTTATAATCCTTCTCTTTTCTTTCTTTCTTTTTTTTTGTGAATTGAATGAAGGTTTACAGAGCAGATCATTAGTTTCACTCTTTTAGCTCTCTTAACTTTTCTTACATTGTTATTTTCCTGTTTTGAATCTGTTTACTTTTCCTACTAACTTTCACTTGTTGGTGGAAATCCAGAGAGCCTAGGTTAGGGGTAAAAAGGCCTTACAATGTGTTGGCCTGACTGAGCCTGGGAATCCTACCAGCCAGGGACCAACACTAGTCCCCTTTTGGGTTTGATGTGAGAGTTCACTTCCTACATCTTGCCCTGTCCTAATTGATTCTCAGTATGGCATTTGTCTTCGGGGTAACCTCACCTTTTATATTTGCTTACCACTCACTACTCTCACTTCTGGTTTTTAGATTGCTGAAGCATGTATATTGGGGGCTGGAGAGAATCCTTGGAAATTGTCCTTACATCTTGCAGTTCCCACAATGCATTTTTATCCAGGATATGTTTGTTATTTAATTGGCTGGCCCTTAGTTGTCTATCATCTACCATAATGTGAGAGAGGAAGACCCATTCAGTTTTCAAATCCTACTTAGGGATTCCTGTGCTGATTTTTGTCCTGATGTCTTTGAGCTAAAGGTCCTGTCATCTTTCTTGTTCCTTGAGAGATCTGGTAGACATGATGCCTAAAGAAAAAATGAATAAGAAACACAAGCTAAGCTCTGCCATCCCAGAGCTTTTCTAGATCCTTTTCTTGCTATTGAAGCTGTAGCCTGGCTCTCTAATCCTGTCCACCTCTGACCATTTTCCTTTTATCCCTTCACATACTGATAAAAGTCTTCACTTTTGTGATACTTCAATCCCTTATCTTGGAATAGGCTTTAGAGATTGCAAAATTCTTATACATACACTGACTTGCCTGAGCTTCTCAGCATCCTTCTGAGTAAAGTATTGTTATGCCAATTTCAGAAGAGTACACTGAGGTTCAGAGAGGTCAACAGGAGACCAATGTCTTCACCCATATAGCCTAACTCCAAATCCATTACTTTCTCTGCCTACCCTGCTTTCCATGAATGAAAAAGTAAACACAATCAATCACCCAGCCATTCATTCATCTCATATTTATTGAGCATCTTTTTATACCAGGCACTGTCCTAGACATGAAGATCGAGCTGATAACAAAGCGCCCTCATGAAAGTATAGCTGGCAACAGATAATAAAGAAAATGTAATGTTAGCGTAAATATTTCTATGATGGAGAATAAATAAAACAGCTGTCTGGGAGCATATGTGACTGTTGTTAAGTGCTGTAGAGTCAATTCCGACCCATAATGACCCTGTATAGGGTTTCTAAGGAGCAGCTAGTGAGCTTGAACCACCGACCTTGCAGTTCAAATGACTTTGCAGTCTGACGCATTAGCCCACAGCAGCACACCAGGAAAATGAACAAAGAAGCCATATCAAGCACTCCGGTAGAAGGAGCAGCAAGTACCGAAACCTAGGAAAGAACTGAGTATCTTCAAAGAACAGTTGATGTGCTTTGTGACTTTGAACCTGAGAATGTCACCACCCAGGGACCAATGAGCAAAGGGGAATGAGATGGAAGATGAGATGAAGCAGTGGCTAGAGACCACGTCTAAGAAAAAAAGTTTGAGGGGAAAATGCAAGTTTGATCCTTAGAAGCTTGCTTCCCCTTTAAATAAGAAGAACCTGTGTGTGGATGGACATTGAGTGTTAACAGTCTCCCACCATTTGCTTGTCTCTTTCAACAGGCCTACAGGTTTTCCCAGCTTCCTGAAATGGTCATGGGCTCTCCCCCTCCACCTGTACCTCCCCGGACTGGTCCTGTGGCTGTAGCTTCTCTGAGGCGGTAACACATCCCTTGCTTTGCTTTGTATGGAATGTTTGGAAAGGATTTGGCTCCGTGGACTCAGGCCCAACAATGCTGTTGTTGTTGTTAAGTGCCATCAAGTCAGTTCCAACTCATAGCGACCCTGTATAGGGTTCCAAGGAGTGTCTGGTGAGCTTGAACTGCCAACCTTTAGGGCCAATCCAACCTTGCGGTTGAGTGCTTATCCTATGGTGCCAACCAGGCTTGGCAATAGCACTGGCAAATAGCCTTCCTACTTACTTCCTTTGGGGTTTGTCAGCTGTACATGCAAATACATGCCTAGGGAACTCTGGGAAAATGGGAGCTACAGAGGGTTGGCTACTTTCACATCTGTTTAAACAAAGTCCTTTAGGGCCCAGAGTTAATAAAACTCTGGGACAAGGTCAATTGTCCCAAACCCTGAAAGCCCCACACCCTGCCCTTGAACATCTAAAAATTACTCCATCATGGACCACGAAGCCACTTGCTACAAGTCTGGGCCCCTCGTGCTGTGTTTTACAGACCACACATCCCTTTATTATTTAAGGGTAGTGTCCAGGAGGCCAGGGGAGAAGCATGTCTGAGCCGTCAACTCATGACTTATGAAAGGCAGAAAACACATGAACTTCATTTGTCAATTATGAAGCACATTCTTCAAATTCTCAGCTCTGTCCCAGTACAGAAAGCCAACTTTTCTAAAAATAAAAAAGACAAAAGCCATATTGGAATAGTCATCGTGTCCAGGGTTGGGCGAAATGGCTGTGCCCTGGAATGTGTATGGACCATTGTACTGGTCCTCTTGCCTCACCCTCCCTACAACATACCAGTCACATGCCATCTGTGGACCACCAGTCTGGGCTTTATGAAAACAGTGAGGAACATATGAATTTCCCTCAGAAAAGACTCTCCCTCACTCCCAGCAGTTTGAACTGAGGAGCTGTGACTAGATACCATCTTTTGTCCCCAGCAGACTCCAGTAAACCAGGGCTCCAGTCTCTAACCTGCCAGCAACTTGCCGTGTGACTTCAGGCAAATTGCCATGCCTCTCTGAACCCTGTTTCCTTATTTGTAAAATAAGAGAAATAACCTAAATGATTTCAAAGGCTCTGGAATTCTTCAGAACAGGATCCAGTATATGGAACTTGGGAGGCATTTTCTGGAGTAGAGAAGCCTTTATGTCATCCACTTAGGCTATTTCTCCTGTCAGTCACCAGCCTCCTCTTACCCCCTTCCTCAGCTCCTACTACCCTTACCAAATACCAGGGGTCTCTGGTTGGGGTTCAGCCCAACAAACCCATATGAACCCAAAGAGTCAGACCAAGGAGAAATGGTTAGAAATGACTTCATTCACCACTTTGGTTTTACAGACAAGGAAACTGAGGCTCAGAGACTGCAGGTAGCTGGAACCCTGCCCTCTGCCTCTGAACTGGGTTCCCTTGCTGTGGTCCTTACTGTGACAGCTGCTTCTGTTCAGAGGGTGGCTCTGTGTACTTGCAGCCTGCCCATCTGAGCTGCCCCTTTGCCTCCCTCCCCTTTTAGTTTTAGGGGAACTCAAGGCCCACCTGTGATGAACTGCCTCAGGCAAAGGGAAATTGAGCCTGTGGGGATCCCCCTTTATAAATGGGGGAGATGCTGGTGTCTGTGGAGTCCAAGCTGCACACCTGCTGGTGCATGGCTGCCTGAGCACTGTGTGCAAATATGATGTGTTAAATGAGCCCCATTCTCACTGCCTGTGGAGGAGGGCCTGGGACAGTGTGCGCTTGGTAAAGGCCCCTTGCCCTGGAGCAGCCCCAGCTTCCCAGAGCCTAGGCCTTAATGCTTCCTGTTCCTCGAAGTAGGAATATGACCCCTGCTTCCATGGTCACTTGTTCTAGCATCTACACCAGGAGTAGACAGCTTGATGCAAACCTGGTCATCTCATTGGCTGTTGATGATGTCATCACCTTCTAGGTCAGCCATCCCCAGCTAATACCCAGCACTAATTACTTTGCTTAATTTTATGTGAAAATTAAATGATCTACTACCCAGAGATGCTAGAGTCACCCCGAGGGGAGAACCGACCTTGAATATCTAAAAATTACAACAACTTGGGCCACCATGAGTAGTGTTAGTGCACCCAAAAAAGGTCCCTGTTGTTTAGGGGCAAATCCAGCCCTGAGGACCTCACCCTCATGGGACCTGGGAAGACGGGTGAGCTGCCCACTCCTCCTGTGTAGCCCTCCCCTGCTGGGTGCTCTCCTGGAAGCGCCTAACTACAGCCCCTGTGCCCTGCCCAGATCCACCTCGGACATAGGCAGCAAACCAAGAATGGCTGAGTCCACAGGCCCGGAGCCGGCCCAGCTGCACGACAGCGCCTCCTTCGCTCAGGTGTCCAGAGGCCCCGTATCTGTGGCGCAGTTGGATCAGTCGGCGTTAAATTACTCAGGTAGGTGAGCAAGGAGCGCCTGGGAAAAGCCTGAACTGTAACCCAGAGCCACCCCTGCTGCTGTCCCCTTGCTCCCAAATCCACTCTGCGGATGGGCCCTTTGTCCTTCCACCCTCTAGGGATCCGAGCCTTGCATCTCTGGATCCCTGGTGACTTCAGTCTGAAATCTGACCAATGTTAAGTCAGGGTATGTGTTAACAGTTTGCCAGACTCCAAAACTATTTTTGAAGCATTACAGATGTAATCTCCAATCCAGCCCCACTCTTGTGTCCTTCCCTCTCCCTCAGAAGTAATCATCACAGTCCTCAAGCCATAGGGCTTAACCTTTTGAATATATAT